CAATAGGCTGGATGCTACTTTCCAAGAAAACTTCTTCAAAGGCATGTGATCCCCATGGAGGAAGTGGGAAAAACAGAAGTAAAACTAATTTCATAATAGACTTGATTACTTTTTGAAGGGAGTACAGAACATGGCTGGCTATGCTACAGATACACTAGACTCATTTGTATCTTTTCCAGTCTTATTTCCTAGATGCCTAACTACTCTTTAAGTTCAGGTTTAAATAAAGAAACAAAGCTGCTGCAGGTCTATGTAAAGGTATTTCTCTAAAGTAAGGAAAGAAAGGAAGTTCGTCCTTGTATCACCTACAGTTCTCGGTCAGAATCCTACAGTTATGGCTTGTAATTACTAAGCTAAAAACCTAAAAGGATGAAAAGAAAAGAAAAAACAGGAAAAAAATATTTGCAAATGTGTAAGTTTTTTATCTGCTGTTCCATGGGATTGGCCATTAAAAATCAGAGAAGAACAAAGATGAAAGCAGAGGTAGGTGACACTGTAAGCAATTGAAAATCATATAAAAGAGTTGAGTATAAAACTCAATACACTTATCTTGAGTGTTTATTTTTAATAGAGAAAGAAGCAATCATAGAAAAAGACCTCTGAGTTCCTCTTTCAAACTCTAGATGCTAAAACATACAGACTGTGCTGAATAATTCTTTGAAGTCTTTGATGGGACTTACAGGAATCTTCCATTTTGTGCTAATAAACACATAGACTATTTTTTACAAAGTGTAAAGTTACAAAGTATCAGTGCTTCTCTCCTAACAAATCCCATGCTGAAAGCAAAAGGCAGCACTATCGTAGCTGCTAAAAAGAAACCCAGCTCTGCCTCAGCTAAAAACCAGGACAAACACTTTTTTTTTTTTAAACAATTAAGCTTTCAGATCTGAAGGTGGAATTTCAAAACTGCTGAAATTTCCAACATAGCCCATGTGAACCTCGCATGATCAGTGGTTCTGTAGTTAGTGAACTCCTCACTATGAATTTAACAATTCTTATATTGAATACGATTTTTTCTAACGGACTGAAATGCAGGCAACATATCTCCCAAGATATCTGAGAAATAAAGTACAATGAGAAGAGTACTGTTCTTACCACATACAGCTGTTTCCAGAGGACAGCCCATTCCTGCAGCGTTGCTGTGACTTCAGTCACAACAGAATCTTCAAGTGGAACAACTGTTTCATATTGCCTACACAAGAGGAGAAAAAAATTAGGAAAGGTACCCTGGAAAAGGTAGACAAATAAATAAATGTCAACGTGGTCACTGGTAAAATGCTAGAGCTTGAGTTTGTTTAAATTTTTTCAACATAAAGGAAAATATCTTAAGAACAACATTTTGTCCATCTTAAGAACAACATTTGTTTTAACACCAAAGCAACTCCATAGTCATATCAACTCTTCCTCCTCTACATTCCACAAGAATCAGCTTACTGAAGCATTTTGTAGTTAGTTGTTCAAAACATATCACTTCATTCTAATCAAGGTCAATGAAAACACGACCACAGCATGCTAAATTAACTTGCCTGTGAAGTGAGATCCTTCAAAGTTTGTGTCCCTTCTCTCTAAGGCAGTCCAAGCCTTTTTTCCCCTTCAATTAATATGTTAGTCAATATCATTAACTACCAAAAAGATCTACCATCTATTAACCTTTCCTATCCAGAATACTTTTTTAGAATAGGATATGAAAGCTGAGTGAGCTATCCTCTAATCAAAAAGAATATGACTTGTCCTTTGTGGTCAAGATCCTCCACACCCATTAAAGGGGAAGCACAGCTCTCTCTTCTTTCATCACACTGAAATGCAGGAATGTGATAACTAATGCACGTATTGTAATATCATTATATCATCCGAGACATTAATGCCTTGACTTGCCCTTTCCCTTTCAGTCATAGCATTCAACATGTCAGACATTGTAAAAATAAGGTCTATTTCAAGCTTCTGCTCTTTCAGCAATTTCTTAAAAAGAGAGAGAATTAAAAAACAAAACACAAACAACAAAAAAAACCCACAACACAAAAACCCCACCACAGCACATCCTGTTGGAACAATTCTCCATAGATCCTAAAGCAGTGCTACTGAAAAACACTGGCTCAAAAGATGGTTTGGTACAAGTAGTGTCAAGTGAGAGACAGTCTCTGCATCACATCCAACAACCATGAAGGACACTGATCCCTTCCTCCTCAGCAGTACAACTGTGCATACACCTACTTTGAAATTCTGCTGAAGGGAAGCTACAAACTCCCTGTTCCGTAACCAGTTCAGGTTATTTCTTCTGTCCTTTGTCCAGAGTTAAGCAAGTGCTAACAAGTAAATACGTGAACAATGAGATGTAATTAATTTCAAAAAGCAGGTGTGTGAGGGGTTGGGTTTTTTTGTTTTGAAAAGAGAACATAGTTAACAATTTAAAAAAGCCACACACTTTCATGACAATATTTTGCTTTTGAAAATTCTTACTAGAAATAATTGTGCCACATTAGCTGAAGCCAAAAGTAACAAGTGATAGGGGAGAGGATGATGAAGTTAAGTCGCTGTATATCTCTCTCTCTATTCTTGGAGCATAAAACTTGTCATACAAGAGCTTCAATTTGTCATTTCCAAGCTACCAAAAACTCACATTCACATCAATGACGTAAGTAAATCTTACATAATGATCCCAAATATATATATATATATTGGAAACATCACTATCTTAAAAACCCACGAAAGCTGGAACTGGGAAGCTGATTCATATCCATACATACCAGGAGACAAGACAGATCACAGGTTTTTTCTATTATTACGCCAATCACCTTATTCCCACATTTTGTTGTGGGAAACCAAAACACCGACAGACATTTGGCATCTGAGATTGTGCTCTATTCTACTCCTGTAATGTTTTTGTTTGGTTTTGGTTTAGCTTGGTTGGGTTTTGAGGGTTTGGGGTTTTTTTTTTTCCCCCAAGTCTGGCCACAGCAAGACTAGGAAATCTCTTTTCATGTTTTAACAGATCTCCACAGAGTATGCTTGTGATCTGAAGTATGACACTAAGGATATGATGAAAATTCCAACATCTACTCTTTAGCTCAGATTCAAAGATCATTTCAATGGTTAAACAAAAATTCTGCATTTAGTATATATCATCAAAAGTTTGCTTAACACTAACAACATTAAAAATGATGCCACAAACACTTCTCACTGAAAATTCAGTTCTTTTCAGATCTCTGTAAAATGCCATTATAGGGAAGGGATTCAAAATAGTTCAACATCCCTTTAAGAAACCACAGAAAATGAAAGGATAAAATGAATCACACAACACCCTTTAGCTAACATGGGGGGAAAAAAATCAAAACCAAAGAAAAATGTTCTTCTAAAGATTATTCTTAGAAACAGATGTACAAACTTTTGCCATCAGTGAAAAATAAAACATTTTGGAAGATGAGCGTTTAACAGTATGGCTGGATTTAAAGAGAAGGCATGTCAGGACTACTTTAACCATGTAAATATAATGTTTTGCATTCCTATAACCCTGCACTTCCTCCATTATACCCAGTTATTAATGACTTTACATTGGGTCTATGACTCAAGTATAAGAACATTATATGCCATGCTCTGTTATTTCACAAGTGTCTATACTGGCACTTGGAATACATTCTTAACTACAGGGGTAGAATTTATTTTACCAAAACATGAAATAACCATGATCTCTGGTTTAGAATTGTATTACCTTCTGTTGTACCAACTGGTACACCAGTCTTTGCTACTCATTTTTAAAAAGTATATCAACTTTCCCAGTAAGTGTCTAATTATCCTGAACTGGTTGCCCTTAACAAATTCTGAACTAACATCAAGTACTATGTAACTACAGATCACAGGAAACTGGTCTTCCCCCTAAGAAGAGTACATGTTAGTAGTAGTCATTCTATGCAATATATATAATTTTATTACACCCCAATGTTATGATGCATTAGTATTATAGTTGCCCTTACAATCTTTACTCAGTCCCTTTGAGATAACCACACAATTCGAGACTATCAGAAGTCACATTTTTCTACAGGTACTTCACTAAATGTCATTTCACACATTTTATCTTCCACATTTAATTTGTTGCCTTGGGTCATGGTCTGAAATGCTTCACTTACATAAATCTCCCCACAGTGGCCTTAATCTAGAAAATGCAGGTAAGAGAAGCAGTGAGGAGAGAGGATACTGATTTCAGGAGTCTCAGTCAATCTCACAGGTAACTTTGCAAGTTGTAGAGCCTACACACAGTAAAACCTCTGACATTATGTTACCATCAGTATTGCTATGCACATAAGCTAAATTAAACTTACGTCTAGCAACATATGAGCTACATACAAAGATAGTAAAGATTAGTAAAGATAGTAAACTATTTTCAGCAGAGTGTACTTCAGTCATTCTTTGGCTTGAGGTGTGGAGGGCTGTATCCTTTTGAAAAGTTTCACAGTAACATAGCTACTTTATCAGCTCTCTCTCTGTGAAAATCAGTTTATAAACAAGATGGACTGTCTACATGCTGGTGTCACCTTAACAAATGAAAACATATAGAATGTTCCCAGTGAGGAAAAAGTAGAAATTAAAAATATAAATGGGGTTCTTTAAAATGTGTGTGCTTCTCTGGAGTTACAATTTTATGAGCCAAATTGAACAGGAGTGACCAACAGAACTGAATCTGCTATATTAAAAAACCAAAAAACTTCAAAGCTCTGTATAATTACATTTAATTTTCAAACCCTAATATAAGACAAAAGATACAATGAACTAAAACCACTCTTTAAATTTTAATAACTATTTCTTAAGATTCCCTTCTAGATGAGAAGCACCGCAGCTTCTTAAAGAGAAGGAAGAACACTCACCCTCTGTTACTGACGATTGCCTTTTTCAAGTGAATATAGTTTGCAGGAAAAATCCCCTGCAAGAGAAAAAGTCTAAGTGAGAAAAACACATTTGCAGGTTTTAGCATTTATAGGTCAGGCCACAATAAAGAATTGTCAACATACCTATTAAAAAATCCCTCTAACACTGTGTCAAAGAAGCTACCACAGTCAATAGTCAACATTCAAATTAGTCAGAACTGATTATTTTAATCCATCTTAGAACAGGACAGCACACTGAATCAAACCTCTACCTTGAAAGATCCATTTCTTAATAAGGAAGTTTTGCAAGTCTATGCAATAAAAATGTCATACAAAGATTCAAGCTGGGTACTTTTCACTCCCAAAAGCTCCTGAAGTGTTCAGAAACACTGCTGGATGGGAAATACGCTCTAGTATAAAAATCATGGGTAAGTCAACTAGAACCAAATGAAAAGGTGTCACTCTAATCCTACACAGCTGCCTTGGAAGGGACAAGATTGATTTAAAATAAAACATTTAAGTTTTGCCAATTGTCTTCCTACTGAAAAGACTCTGAGAGCCTAATAACTCACTAACAGATGATGAGTAAGCAGGAAAAAAGTGTGAAAAGTAGGAAGAGTTCAGAAAACAACTTGCAGTTAGCAGAAAGGAATGAGTAACAGAAGTAATGACCAGAAACATTAACTGGAGAGACATAAGCTAGCTGGGACAGCCAGAAAAGTGGCTATTGTGCAAACTGCAGCATGGCATCAGTGTGCTTCCAGACCAGGCCTCTGTATCGGTATCCTACATTACATGAGATGAAAAGGATATAGGTTTAAAAAAAAACAAACCAAAAAGCCCACCATGAAATTTGTGCCTAGCCCCCAGACCAGTCTCTCACTACAGAGAGGTATTTTATTACTCACATGCCCTGGAGCTACCCTTTTTCCTCCCTCTTTCCAACAAAAAGCTGTTCAAACCCACTTGGGATAGCTCCAGCTATTTGCCATTTGCTGTTCCCATGAGGGTTAGATTCTAACTTTGCCTGTGCCATTGTGTTTTTGAGTGATGAGACATGGGGAAAAGAGGTAATTTAAACCAAACTTTTCATAATGTTCCATTATCTCTGTAATACACATGGCCCGGAGTCCTCAGAGCAAACTCAGTCTGTAAGAATCCTAAGCCTGCACTTCAGTGGGGGGATACAGGATCAGCACTGGCAATCTTCAGGTTAAAAACCAGTTGACAGCCTCTCACAAAAATGTCACAGTAATCAAGTATAGGCTTTAAATTTTTAGAGCTTTAAAATAGTACAATTTAGGAATAAAAATTTTCATGGGGGGTTTGAAAGGAATACTCAGTAAATACGATTCAAAATGCTAAAAATTCTTTCCTTTTCATAGACAAGGCTGAAAGTGTAGAAGGAAAAAAGATTAATCTCACAGGAATGGCTTCATCAGGGGGAAAAAAACCCTAAATGTGCATGCTTTCAGCCCCACAAAAATCTGGAAAAAGAAGAAGCGATATTTCAGTTTCTTGTTTGGTTTACTTCCAATTAATGATGTTTATTTCTGTCATCCTGTGCTGGTTACCTAAGAAACCAAGGAAAGTTTGAAAGAAAGTGAACAAAAGTGAACACAGACACAAGCAGAAGATGTACCAACATACAGGCAATGAATGTAGGCTTTTCCATTCCAAGAGTGTTATAGTCATGAAAACATAATCCAGGTAATATTATATTCCATAGTACAGGTAAACATGAGGAATCTGGTACTCTTTTCTTTTTAAATACAAGCTATACTTAAACCAAAAGACAATGAAGTGATGATTACACAGAAGCAACTATTTACATGTTTGGATACATACAATTGCAAAAATATACATGCACTTGTGAAAAATTCCTCTCAGACAGACAAGAGATCTCCAAGAGCAAAACAGGGATATGACTGGAAAATAAACAAATGCAGTGGTTAAACTGCAAAATTCTGAAAAAAAACCAAACACAATATCCTTTCTCATCAGACTTTTTTCAAAGTTGTCTTAGATTAATGATGTAAATTATTAAACATGTTCTTTAAAAATCCTGAATTAAGTAGTGCAAGATCACCCACCTATGCTTTTCTTAGGGGAGTAAGGTAGAAAAGATCAAATTTATAAACGTTGAAAAGATTACATATTACATGTCAGGAAGGTTTCTGATCCTTTGGGGGACTAATGAGTACCGTTCTCTCAATTTAGAAAATAAATCCAAGCCTCCCACCGGAAAAAAGTTAGAGAAGTAAAATCCTAAGGGTAAGGAAAATTAAAAGTTTACAGATCTGCAACAGCAAAGGAGATATAATCCCCTGGTAAATTACAAAATATATTCACACTTACCTTTACATTTGGCTTCTTAATGGAAACACCCCTGTACCAACCTAAAACCAGATAAAACACGTTGTATTAATTTGTGGCATTGCCTACTTTAGACAGAAGCAAACTGACTGAAAACTATAGTTACTGAGATCATACCAAAACCAGCTGTGCCTCACGTAGGTCACATTTTTCCAAGGGTTTCTGAGTGGTTTTTGGGTTTTCTTTTGGTTTGGTTTTTGTTTAATTCTTTTGCTCTACAATGATAACAAAAAGTTCAGAATCTGGAACACTCCTGATTATTCCCACCAGGAATAAAAGCAGTTTAAGATACTTAAGTCACTGTACACACAATCATTAGCCACTGTGGCAAAGATGCATTCAGCACTCATGCAAGAATCTGTACTGAACACTTTTCTTACCTACTGGTACATGAGTCCCTTCATAGTTTTATCTTAAAATCTCCAGACTTCAAAAACCTCTCCTTTTAAGGACAGGAAAAGCCATTATCACACATTTCTAATATCGTTTAAACTAATATAAATCCTTTGCACATGTCTGGTCTTATGCACGTCTGTGAGACTAGAGAACAGACTTTAGGATCTAATTTCACAAATTCAATTATTATTCTGGTATCTCACATCAGATAACAGTCCCAGACAGGACAATAAATCAGGAGTAAAAGTCAAAGTTGCAAAAGCTACAAGTTCTACAGAAGAACTCAATTACTCCTGTTTTACACAGGTGAGAGTGATGTCACTCCGTGCAAGACTGCTCAGGAAAATACCACCCAGTCTAACAATGCAAAAGGAGCAGCACACTCCAGTTGTCATAGCAGATGAACTGCTCTTCCACTCCATAAACCATACAGAACTACCTTGAATTCCTGTTAAAAATGTGCTGCTCTCTTCATATCTGGGTCTAATGCTTCAGCCTCAGAACATAAAGCTCAACCTTAAGACCTGACCCTGGAGCACCCTGCAGAAGCACGGGCGATGAGGAGTGCCAGGGTGGGAGGTCTGCGGAAGAGGCCCGGCCATCCCTGGCCATCAGAAATCTCTGGGCAAAGCTGGCCAGGCCCAGCTGCTACACGAGCAGCAAGTTCAACTGCCTGCACGTCACACTTCTACCTGCTGCAGCCCGCTCTTCAGACAGGCATCAACCCAAACCTGCCAAAACCCAACAATGCCACGTAATCTAAATACACTTTCCATAAAAATTCCTCTAATTTTTCCAGCAGCTTCGTACTTTTTTTTTTTTCCTCCTACAGAGGACAGATATAATTTCGTATCTGTGGCATTTAAAAGAGCATTTGGAAAACTTGCCAGTAATTTGCTATGGAGAACAGAAAAGAACAGAAGAAAGTAACTGCATTTTGTCTCTCTCAGAAAAAAGACTTCATATTTGGCTGAATTATGACATGAGTCTCATTTAGATGCTTAGAACTGGGGAAGAGGGCTTTGATTTTATTTTAAAGACAGCCTACTAGTCTTGAATTATTTTTTTCCTAAGGAAATCTGAGTTAATATAAAAGAAAATAGTTGATGAATTCAAGACATTTGTAAATCTTAGTATGGAAAAAATTAAAATCCATCTTCTTTATTACACAAATTTCTCATGAAGATAGGACATAATACAAAGATTTTAAATTACTGCTTATATTAAAAAAATACAATTTTTGTTTCAATTTATTTCTTAGTTGATCAAACTTCATGGCAATCATCAATGTAAATATATATCCACAAACAACACATACAGATCTTTAAAATTAGTAATTTCTAAAACTCCACAAAACTATGCCTGCAACACCTGCTTTTGAGTAATAGATGCTACATATTTTTAAGGTCACAGAAAAAAAATAAATGCATTTATCCTGTGATTCATTGTTACCAATATTAAATACAGCATGCTGTTAACTTTTAAATTCATAGACTCTGTACCTTATAAACATACATTTTAAGCTTTAAGACAAACAGAATGGCAAACTTCTCAGTAAATATGGAAAAAAGTGGTTTTATCTAAGTTTGTGAACAGAACTGTAGAAGTTAGAACAAAACCCAATAAGGCAGGTGCCTATTAGTGATTTAGATGTGCAGGGTAGGGGATGGAACGTGTTTCCAAAAAACTACCTTATTTCTTAGTTTCATGTTCTTAATCCCAAAACAAACCTTCAAAGATGAAAAGGTAGGTGTTTACAGAGTGTAGAACACAGGAATAGAAGGACCCCTAAAAAAAAAATCCCCTAGCTCATACAAGGGGTGTCTCTGAACTTCTCCTCACTGATGTTCAGCCTGTATTTAACAGTGTTCAATAATTCATCATCAGGACTGAACAACACCGCATTCCTTGCCTGTGGAAAAGGATCCATACAACTTCTGCAAAATCTAAATTCCAAGGGATTTCTCTACAGTATTCCAAGGAAACAGTATTTCTGCTACCCCACACAGACCAGTTTGAAAGTGGTGGTGTTGCACAGGCATCTTTTTAGAAGAAATTTCTTCCACTGATCAACACTGGACAGTGAATGTCATGTGACAGTAACATTTTGATATAGTACTTGAAAGGCTTGAATATTTATGTCAAGTAGAGATGGCAAACCCTGACTGGGCAACCTATGCACTTTATAACCTGAACTTCCTTTGCTGCTGTGATAGTCTGAATTCAGGATTTCTTCTTTTGAAGAATATGGAAAACATTTTGTTGACTTCCCTTTTGTAGGTACTTTTATGCATTTGAAAAGCAGTTTATTTCCCTTTAAACTTGTACGTTGTGCTCTCCAGATCTTAGTTTTCCTTTCTTTTGTCTTTCCTTTTTCCGTGTGGTATGCTATTTTTAGAATCACCCTTCTCTGTTTTAAGTTTCCTCCAACTCCATGCAAACAAGATACAGCAGAAAGAAGAGCTCACCAGAACCTGAAAGCACTGAACTGTAAAATGTAATTCCTTATTTGTTCACAATGAACACCACCAAAAACTCATTTTGTAACTCAAGTAAAAGCTATGAGAAAAGGTGTAATATTTTTTTTAAAAGATACATTCAGAAAATTACACCTGTATTACGTTATTCACTAAACTATATAAACTAAACCCTTATTCTGGAATTAGTCTTAAATAGATTACTATTGTTCTAATAACATATTTTAAAGAATATTTATTTTGGAGGATTTAATCATGATAGTAATCAAATCCAGGCAGGTACTTCAGTTAACTGTGATCACAACATGCATTACATGGATAGACCTCAATATTGACTAATGTTTTTAGATGTACTATACTACTTGTACCGTACTACAAATAATTAATTGTTAATACTTTAGAATTATGGCATTCATTTTCTAGTGATAGCTGGCCTTTAAAGGGTATTGACTTCAAGGAAATGGTGAAAAAGATGTGATTTAAAATTAAGAAACAGAAAAACATGGCTATGAAGTGATAAGAATGTTGTGAATAAGTTAATGGGTAACAACAATCATGAATATCCACAATTTGAACAGATTAACTGTCTCGTAATGATCAGTAACTAATAAGAATTTGAGGACAGATGAAGTTAAGGTGTAAGACTAGAGCTAGAACACCTATAAATCTCTACAGAGAAAGACTGTGCCTCATGCACACAATGCCTCCCCCCATTTCCATTTCTGACACCTAAGGATATTCTCAAGCTGCTGGACCCAGCGCATGACCGGGGGAAAGGAAGACAGATAATTCTAATTGTTTTTCAAAAAATGAATCACTGCACTGGGTCTGGCTGGGATGGAGTTAACTTCCTCCACAGCAGCCTGTCTGGTGCGGTGTACGAACATTTTGGCTGTTGTTGAACAGTACCTGTACAACATCAAGGCTTCCTCTTTTTGCCAGTGTGCCACCCCCAGCGATCAGGCTAGGGGCAGGCAAGAAGTTGGGAGAGGCCACAGCTGGGACCTAAAGCAGCCAAAGGGATACACCATACCATATAACATCAGTTACTATAAAACTCCAAAAAATAGACTATTAGAAGCACCATCCTAAGCAATATCCTATTCAGGATAAGAAGGAGAACACTAAATATATCCCAAAAAAGTCTTTTAAGTATTTGAAGTATTATAGTCAAAATAAAGAAGATAAAATGACAAAGACACCCTGAAACGGGCAAAAATACCTTCAGTGATACAGATGACACTGCAAGCAAACTTTTCTCTTTTTTCCTTTGATCACACAGGAGGACAGGCACAGGATAAGCCTCCTGCTTCTGCCATAGTGAGGAGCTGGGGGTGAACACAGCCATTTGGACTGCATCTTAGTGTTGCATCGATGTGCATTTCTGGGCAAGTGTCATGGAAAACACTCATACTTGATAAATTTTGATAAATGGAGGTGCAAAGCTTTTTGGTTGTTTGTTTTAAAGAAACTGATAGTATGATAGACGTAATGCCCCAGTAAAACAGAAACTATCAGTGCTGGAATTACATAGTTTCCCAGTCTAGTGGATTTTGAACACCTCAAGCTTTACAATCTCAGTGGCCCAAAACAAAGGTTTAATCCAAGTACTGTAGAAGAAAATGGAATTAATCATAGCTATTCCAGTGTGTTCTGGACAAGACACTGTATCTTAAAGTCCTATTCCAACTTTGCTTTTACATGGACTCCACTGCACAGTGCAGCAGATAAACCAGACTACCTAAGGCAAGAGAGCCACACTGCACAGTGATCCACGCCACCTAAGCCTACCACAGGTCTAAACATTGTCCCTACGGTGAAACAAAAAACCCAGGAAAAAACACCAGCTTTTACAGCTGTTTTTTTCAATACCATCTAACTATATTTGATACAAGCTAAGAAAAGTGAAGAGTAGGATGATCTACAGCTCTGCCCTCTATACACCCTACACAGCAAATAATCCCTCAAAGAGCTGCAAGAACTACTTCCATGGTAATAAAACTGGAGAAAAACAAAAGGAAAACTACTCCACTATGCCTGTTACCCCTGCACATTAGGACCACCCCTTGCTCATAACTTTTTCTTCAAAATGCATTGTCTATACACATATTCACACTGTAGGTTACTTGCTTAGAAGTATATCCAAGAAAGTGTCCCCATCCTTCCCTTTGTTTCTAGGGCTTTTTCAGCTATAAGAAGTATTTGGGTTCCTGCTTAGCTCCTCTCAACCCCAAAATTCAACAAAGCTTTTGAAGAAGCAGGACAGAAAAATAGATTGGGAATGTATGTACTAAAATCCCATACTGAAAAAATGCTTAGGTAAAAGACACATCTTTCACCTACAACTACATGTACATAATGAAATGCACAGTGTGGGAAACCTGAAGCCATACTGCAGGAACCTGAATACTCTTAGATAAAGACTGAAAAAGAGTATTCCGAAGATGTACCACACTCAGAAGTCTCAGCAATCAGGCAATCCTAGTTAAATTGCAAAAGGAGCTCTGTGGCAGGCCACATCTCAATCTCTTAATCTGAGCAATTAGAAGAGCTACCAATGTTTTTGACCTTTACTTGAAAGTGCCTCGAACAAAACAGGATATTCGTGTAACCCTTTTCAGATTTCCACTTAATCAATAAGCGGTCTGTCACACAGAAAAAGCTTGTCCCTTTTGAGCACTCAGTAGCAGAAAACCAAAAGAACCCTAATTGAAAGGTATTGATCTATTTTTCAGAAAAATAAAGCTCAAATATCTGGGTTGAGTAAAGTAACATCAGTTGCAGACTGTAGAAAAAAACAAATTCCACATGATTTCTTGATAAACAGAATTCTGAAAATGAGTTATATAAGTATTTATGGTAAGACCTAAAGCTACACTTTGTTCTTAAAGAGAGCACTGCTAGTAGAATCTGCTACAACAACTTGAACCTTCTCTGTCCTACAAAAATAAGTATACCTTGTAGTATTGTGAGTAACCCTCAAATCTGGAGGAAAGCTATCTTTTGAATATACTAGCCAATAAACAATTACTTTTACCTTTTCATCTGCATCTAAGCTGCTATGCAGAGCTAAAGGTACTCAAAGTGACCCAGAAGAGGAAGAGTAACAGTGCTTAGCAAAAGCTTTTTGATGCCGAAACCACTCAATGCCAAGACCACTCTGTTCTGAGCTTGATGCTCTGAACAGTGCCAGGACAGGACGAGCAGCAGATGAATACAGAACCCAGCCTGCCAACACCATGTCAGGGAGCAGCCTCATGCCAGCACAGCCACAGGAGTATGCTAATAATGCAGTCAGAGATGCCACAACAAAAGCAGAAGAGACAGAATGTGTTTTATCTTGGTTTTAGCCAAATAGAGGGCCATCAAGAAGCCATTCCTGTGCTCCAAAAGGCTGGTTTGAGTAGTCAGGCAAGATCTTCCGCAGGAGCTATGTGGGTCCAAGAGACTTTAGTTCCACTGGCACACTCCACAAAAGGCAAACAGGAAAAGGGATGAAAAGGGGTAAAAAAGGCAAATACCTATAAAACTTAGCTGCAGAGGTACCTAAGAACTTGATATAGGAAATTCCCTGTTCTTTCATTCAGTTGCTCTAAATGCAGTGACTGCTTTTCACACCAGTCACTGCAAAAGAGCATTTGCTCCTTTGTAATAATAATATGGTTATTTGATAAATCCTTACAATTAAAAATAAGAACATTCAGAAGTAAAGCTAGTATTTGAATCTTTGTCAGTCTTAAATTCTTCAGCAAATCTCCAAAATTGTTCTTAATCTCACTAGGTTTGCATGTATGTGAATTGTTTTAACCCAGATAGCAAAGTCCCTACTGTAGAGAATTATGCACAAACTATTCTGAGAAGTGAAGCTGAAACAGCAGGGATCTTCTGTCGACTCCCACAGTGGCGATCCTTATTTGCATGGGTTAACATTAAATTATCCAGTTTGTCTGGACAAAAGAATCCCCAGCAAATAATGCAGAAGTAGATGAAGAGCTATGTTCCATTCTAAATTTGCAAGGCAAACCAAGGACTGTGTTAAACAACCGCTTAGACAAGAATGCTTAAACAACTACTATTTTTTTAGGGACCTACTTTGCACGATTAGTGTGCTTTTTTGCATAATTCACACATGCAAGAGCTGCAGCACAGCCTATCTGAATATTTAGATGAGTTTCATATTGTGGCGTTCCAGACATTATTATCAAAATTAACTTTTTATATATGTAAAGTTCACAGTAAAGGCACCTCAGCCAAAATGACAGGATAGAAGGCTTAAAAAACAAAACTAAAAAATTCTGTACAAACACCTCCTTCCACCCAGGAAAGCCCTTTCTCTCAGGACCTCCTTTCTCAGCAATTTGAAGACTGGCATGAATTGCCTTTAAGGAATTATCCTCAGAACTACTGGCAAAGGAAATATAAAGAGCCTAATTATTATAATACTGTAAAGAGACATTGGGTTATCCTTTTGCTTTTCTGTAAGCAACATGCTCCTTCGAGACTGTGTCTTTATTTCCCAGAGTTCTGAAAGTTTCCTTGATTATCAGAAATTGTTTGAAAACATCACGACTGCTTTCAGCAATATACAGTTTCCCCTTAGAGTCATACTATCCTATGCAAAGTAATATATTTTTCCTGAGCTTGCACCATGTACTGATTCACCAGACCTGGTAGAATGACTACAATTAATAATCAGTGCTTGAGCAAAGCTTAGCCCATTACACCACGTGTTTTTTATTTAAAAACATTATCATTTGCAGGTATAATACTACGGGTATTGTTTACAGCAGACTTCTTCATGTATTAAACATCACCACTGCACTGCAAAACTCTCATTCAATGGAGTATTTTTTACAGCTGTCAGTGAAGAAGCTACTACTTTCCTAGAAAAACAGCATGTATAAGGTTGCTTTTTCATGAAGAGTTAAGTCAGCAGGTAAACAAACAAAACACCTGAGTACAAGAAAAAACTTCAAGAGCAGAAGACAGTTCTAGGCAGGAGAGAAGAAAAACAATCTTCTGACAAGCATGCAGAAGGTTTGTGTAACAACATTAACACTGAAGATGAAAAATGACTGTAAACTGAGCAAACAAAAACAAATCTACAACTTTGTGGAATTCTAATTTGGAATTCAGATTTGTGGATCTGGGTTTTGAATTTGTTTTAACACTTCAGGATTAAGGTTAAATTATTCCACCTCAGACCACAGTGAAACATGTTCTCATACTGTATCTCGTCAGTACTTCTCCACAGACATGTTTTACACCACTTGCTTGAACATTAAATAATTCTCCTTTTAAATACAACAACTTCAATCACACTATTCATGCAAACAAAGCAGAGGATTTGGACATTCAATTTATTCACACACAGACATCTCCAGCCAAATAAGAACTGCAGCTATAACATTTACAATGGCATTTTCCTTAAGGTACAAAAAACCACATGAAGATAAATGCAAAGCAATCCTCCCTAAACCCATATTCTTTACATTCTTTCCAGTCTTCCTCCCAAATGATTTGCTAATCTATTTCATAAGTAATATTTTTCATGTGTTCAGATGTTTCTAAATAATAAACACTGATATATGTAATTGAAATGCATAACAGTAACACTGAGAAAATATAGTAAAAAAAAAGATACTGATTATATACTTCACATGATGAAAATTCAGACCCAATTACAATATAACAATCAGGTCAGGGTTCAAGATTTTCTGGACAGATGGTTAACTTAAAACACACTGACCCCCTATCAGACTGGATTAGTGCCAACAGCACTCAGCCTTTCCTATGGAAAGTGGGTCAGACTAGGTTTTATTCAAGTGCTTTGATCTGATGCATCATGATTTCCAAACAACTTATTAGAATCTGCTAGATTAAGATATTTGTATATTCGTATATAGAAAATGAGATTCCTCCCTCAACACCACACTTACCTTCACATTTCTCTAGGATCTGGACAGTTTCACCTAGTTCCAGGACCAAGCCTTGCGGTACAGTTCCTCGGAAGCTGCATATCACTAGAGGGTGGGGAAAAAGAGAGAAAGACATATGAGGGTTGAATCTTTGTGTGAATTTTTCTTCTAAGCATAGTACTTTAGCTCACTCCTTACATAAAAATAGCAATCACATAGCTGCCCAGAAAACCTGTCAGCCTACTTTTCCCCATCAGATATCTTTATTTCGGCCCTTATCAGAAATTAAGCTCAGCAGCAACATAAAAGCTGTGGTTTTTAAAAGATTTTTTAATTAAGCAAGGCTTGTAATCACTCTAATCACCAGCCCCTGATTCATACTGCATACAAAGATTTCCTTGTCTCACAATTCTTACTCCACTATGTAACTCATCAATGCAATTGGCAGTCCTAACTGCAAAGACTATAATAGGAAGTCAACCGCAGGAATTACTTTCCTCCAAGTTGAAACTATTTCAAGTACCATCTGTGCAACTAATACACTACAAAAATCCTGTATTACCACCCATTATTGTATTTAAGTAGATACATAAAAGAACACATAAGAATCTGCACATTCTGTAAGTACTAACATGACATATATCATAAATATTTTTCTACGTATCTTTAGTTTTCATGAACCAGGGAAAACAACAACTGTCCCCCAGTTCTGTAATGCCTGTTCATCAGCATTTCAAAACTCACTCAGGCACAGATTTAATGTAATCATTCAAGTCCCTTGTTCTAAGTAAATACACGCTCAGACAGAGCATGCCCGACATGTCACCCACACACCCACTGGAGCACAAGTGGAATTCCATGAGTTGAAATAGTGACCTCCAGTGGCATCGCCTTTTTTTTCCAATTTAAGAGAACACTCCCCTTTAAACACCAACATGCAAGCTATGGTTGAGATGTTCCCAGGTGATGGAGCTGCCAACATGCAAGCTATGGTTGAGATGTTCCCAGGTGATGGAGCTGCCAACATGCAAGCTATGGTTGAGATGTTCCCAGGTGATGGAGCTGCCTTTCATCTCCTCCCTAAACACCTTTTTATGTCGAAGCTACTGAATCCCTTATGACTAAAGCCTCTCTATGCAGAACTTAAAGCAGTTAACCAGAATGTCTGAAGTCTGGGGGAAGAGCACCATGGAAACTAAGACTATCCTCTGCATCATCTACCACAGGGTATGTTTCTTGAAGCTTGAGTTTCCACAAAATAATGAGAAAAGCATAGAAAAAACTTCCACCAAAATAAAACACTGTTTCAACTATATACACAGATTTCATGAAGGGAAAGGGCGAGAAAGAACAAACTGCATACACCAGGCAAACACCCACACAGATGAGACTAATATGAGGAAGAATTTGAATAAAATCTGAAGAGAAACAAACAGCATCAAAATGTTTGCTCTTCCACAGAGACTCAATTCAGTGCTTAATTAAAGAGGAAAAAACTAGGGATTCCATCAACAAACCTGAACTGTTGTCTCAGCTCATACAGCCCAGCAGAAATCACCGCTGGTTAAATGAGGTTTAAAATTCTTGTTTACATCAGAGACAGGAGGAACATGACAACTGGCTCCAGACTGGAGGGACACAGACAACGTAATCCAAGAAAAACACTAAGCCTGACAGCATTCTGGATTCATTCTTTGACCATGAAGAAATCATAAATATGGATTTCAACCAAAGAAAAACTACTTAATGCTTCTCCCAAAGTCCAGGAACACTGACAATTGCCAAACGCTTAGCTGGCAGGACACAATTAAACCTCTAATGGCTCCTCCTTGTCCCTGCTGTATTTTAGATAGCAGTATCCTTTAAATACAGAAAATGTGGTGGGTTTTGGTTTTGTTTTTCTAATAGGCAATTTTACTAGAACAAGAAGGTAGAAACATCTTTTCTTTCTAAGTTGTTTTGTAAAATGCAGTCCTGTATTAAAATAACTTTACTTTTCCATTCAGATCAACACTAAACAATTCAAATATGTCTCAAAACCACAGAATTCTAAAAATCCTGGGTGAAAAACTACTATTGAAAACACTAGAAAAATGGAGAAATGTTAATACAGTTAACAAGATACATTCATTCTAGACACATGAGGGACTTTTTACAAGGACAGTTAGTGACAGAACAAGGGGAAATGGCTTTAAACTGGAAGAGGGAAGATTTAGATGGGATATGAGGAAGAAATTCTTCACTGTGAGGGTGGTCAGACACTGGCCCAGGTTGCCCAGAGAAGCTGTGGCTGCTCCTCCCTGGAAGCGTTCAAGGCCAGGCTGGATGAGGCTTTGAACAACCTGGTCTAGTGGAAGGTGTCCCTGCTGATGGCAGGGGGGTTGGAACTGGATGAGCTTTAAGGTCCCTTCCAACCCAAACCATTCCATGATTAAAAATAATTAATATATACACATTATAATATTACATTATCACGGGACACAGTCATAGGACACATGAGTATTAGTGGTTGTAGACAAGAGTAGTTTGAACTGTAGAGAGTTTAATGACTGATGGGTTTTACTCAGCTGAGTTCAATAAGTAATAGTCTGAAAAATATTACTGCACGTTAATGCTGCATTAGAAGTTCTGAATTAGCAAAGAACAGTTGGCTTCCTATCATAGTTATTAACTATATGAAAACTACTGCGTAAAGGATGCAACCAGGAAAGAAACTGGATTTGATGGAACTGCTAGTTCTTTGGTCATCAAACACTTGCCTATTATGTTACAATAAAAAGCTAGCTCAGAATGAAAGCTAAAAGAAACGTATCACAACAATACAGTACTGGTTTTTTTTCAAATGCTGATACAGTATTTTTTTTAAATATGGCCAAGAATAATGACTTTAATGTATTTAGTCTTACAAGAAGTCATTCTAACAGATCTGTTAGTTTACAGATGCAAACTGTCCATTTACAAAAGGATTCTAATGATCACACAAAAAAAAGTGATACAAGGACTCTACTGCATCCATGTGTAACCAGCTTGTTGGAATTCGGAGTACTCTACAGATAGCCAAAGCTCTTTTCTCAGGTCTACTTTAGTCAAAAAAAGAATAATAAACAAAAAAATCACAGAACAGAAATGAACTAATCCCATCAGCTACAGATGGCATCTGGATGAGGATTCTCTATTAGAAAATAAGTTATCATACAAAAATAACATCCATCTCATGTTCCTCATTCTCAATACAGCAGTATGAAATCTAATTCCTCCATCAATAAATTTGTAGCCATCAATACATTGTATGTCTCTTCTGCTTGACAATTTTAACAATCAAGAGGGTATGTGAATAGCGATATGGATAGTTTCAAAATAATGGTTTCAGAAACCAAATCTCAAAAGTAGTTGACTTTCCAGCTATGTTAAACTAAATGAAAGTCAGGAAAAATCAAAGAACCCAAATAAACTGGCCTAATACACCAAATCATATCTTGTTAAAACTGTTAAACAAGTACACAACTTAACATCCCTGAAATAAAAAAAGAATGGTAAAAATAGCTACTGATTATGACAGAATCCCAGAAATTTGAGGCTATTTTTCATAGTCTGGTAGATGATTCCAAAAGTTAATGCCAAAGATGTTATGGATGTTGCTCATTTGTTAAGCTAGAAGTGAATTATGCAACACAATCTTATTTATTGAGTCACTTTTAGGTGACTTCTTAGCAGTATTATTTAAAAAATATGAACACAAATGTATACAGGAAATATGGAATAATTTAACCATTCTGGGGAAAATCACTTACAAAGAGGACTCCCATAACTGACTTCTGACCTTCCCATAGAGAAATTCTTTAAGCTTATGATCATCTACAAACTGTCCATCAATCAACAAGTCTCCATCATTTCTTACAAGAGTCATCCCTTTGGTCACCAGAATACAAAAGTAATGTATCATCAAAACAGGCACCCAGCAAAGCTTTTACCTATTCATTTACAGATCTGAACAATCCCCCTTGGATTCCAGGACAGACTGTTGAAATATTTAACATATATTTCTAGATATTAAATCCCCTTGTCATCATTCAGGTTTATAAGGAGGCCATTATTCGCCCTCATGAAATATAATTTCAGCCAACAGTTAAACCCAACATTTTGACAAAAAGTGCTTTGAAAAAGCACCACACGCCACTTTCAGGAATTACCTCCAAGTCAGAGGTTCCTTAACTGTGGTACTTGACTATATCAAAGTGGGCCACAGCAAAAGAAACCCTTTGCTCTGTAATTTATTAATGAGAAAGACACAAACTAGTTCATGTAGGCAGTTACTTTCAAAGACATAGCAGACAACATGAAGGAACTGGTGGGGATATAACACAGAAGAATAAATGGAATTGGAATAATAGTTTGGGAAGTCAAAGATCCAGCCAGGAGAAGACAGATTTAGAAGTGTTTTCCTTGTCTATGGACATGCCCTGACACAGTATAAGCAGCTGCGTTGTAAGTCACCAGCAGTAACAGAAACTGCTTCAAAAGATTAAGGGTACGCAGATAAACATGCCATCTTAACAGTCAGTGCACCTTTGCTTAGCTTAATGATTCCTCATGTGTTGGACATCTAAAGGAGCTGCTTGCTATATGGACAAAGATCCAGGTGATGGAATCCAGTAGGTTTTACAAAAGCTGTTCTGAAACAGCCCCTGTCAAAAGCTCTTGCAGAAACTGAACTCGTCTGTGATAAAGTGGGAAGGCATCGACACAAATAACTAGCAAAGGGATATGAAATAAAAGAAGTTGCCAGTTTTCTTAGTGAAGACAGACTGACCAGCAAGCAATAAAGGGATCTCTGTTGGAGCCTTTTCTGTTTAAAGTCTTTCTAAATGATCCAGAAAAACTGATCATTTAAAAAAAGCAGCAAAGGTTGTGAAGCCACTCAAGTTATTCAGGGTAGTAAAGAGATGCAGCACCTCTAGCACAAGCAGAACTGGCAGAGATGTACCATCTAGTTCATCTCCATGGTGTTTCAGGAAGGATAAACAATCCTAATCTTGCATACAAAACTATCATCTCTCCCCTTGCTATCACCACACTCAGTAAAACCCTGGACTGTTGCTCAGAGTTCTTGTCATAAGCTCAATGCTCAGCCACTGTCAAGCACCATCCTCCTCAACGCCACCACATCACAGCAGAATATTATCTCTGGGAAAAAAGGGAAGACACCATTACCTGCAGTACTGTATAAAATTCACAATGAACCTCCATGTGCCAGTTTTTTTCTTTTCCCTTTGTCAAAAATGGATCCTTTGTCAAAAAATACAGAACAGCATAAGGAAAGGTAGAAAGAAGTGAGACAAGAGATACCAAGGACTGCCTAAGGGTTTTTATATGATTAATTATGAACCAAGACAGGGCTCTTCTACCAGTAAGACTGACCACTGAAAGAAGTGGAGAGAGTATAATTGATAAGGTGCACAGAGAAGGTGAACAGGGAACAACTGCTAATCATCCCTTCCAGCACAAAAAGCAGAGCAGCCTCAAATGAAACAGCAGCGTTCAGGACTTTATTTAATAAAGTACTTTTCCACACGGTGCTAGAACTCCTCACGAGATGCTGTGGGTGATAAAAATAATAAATCAATCACTCAAGTTCAAAAGCAAACAGGACAAATTACTGGATGTGTATCACCTTAGGCTCAGCAAGTCCCTGACCCAGAAAGCACTTAGGCCTTAGAAAAGCATCACATATGCTTATCTTGCTGTGCTGCTACTGGAGTGGAACACCCGCTACTGGTCAGCGTCCAGGGCAGGGTACTGAATGAGCTGGGAACGTGGCTGGGCTGTTGTGATCTCTCCCACACTGTTATTAATGGAATCACAGCCTGAGTGTCTGTTGTCCCTTGCGATCTATCAATTTGTGACCTCATTTGAACACTATTATGGCAAAAAGAGATAATACAATTCACAGTTAGAGAAATGCTAAATTAGATTCCATGTGTGTCATGACTACTTTCTACTGCCCACCTAAATAACTTAGCTGTTCTCATTTTTGCTGTGGGATAATTTTAAAATCTATCTTCCTTTTGTAATTTCTTGTAGTTCAATTTCCAATGTCCCAACTTCCCCATCCAGTCTCACCTGGATCCCAACGCTTCCACAGATCATTTTTCTTCTCAAATGGATTATGTCAATTACATAATAAACATAGGAATGGAAATGGGTCCCAATTTTTACATGAACAGTGGGAAAAGCCAGAACAGGAATAGGAAGATGCTAGAGTATTGTCCAGCACAGTACATCCACAAAATTCCATGCAGCATCTAGCTGCTAATTCCCCTCAAACATCATTTTTTTTTAGCTGATACTTAAAAATACTTTGCAGCACAATGAACTTCCACAGGTATATGCTGAAGGCATGTACTTCCTGATTTTTTCAACCTATTTCTACACAATGTACTAAAGCCTACAAAAATATTTTGACATTGCATAATGTTCTATTTACAACATAAAATAGCAGTTCAGCCCATAATAAGCAATTTGTTTATTTTCATGAAGGAACAGAGCCCTTTCCTGCCCTTTCCCTCCCCACCTTTCAAGATATACCAATGAAAATTGGAAGTATTTATTTAAATGAGGGCTGAGAAACAAAATCAGTTCAAGAGGTTTCCATGTTTACATTGTCCCCTTTTCCTTCTCCAAATCTAAATTATGTTTCTCTAATCATAAAGTTGGGCTTTTTAAAATTATTATTTATTTCTCATGCTTTCTCTTCCTCAGTAGAAATGACTGCTGCTAGCACATATTCAATATGCTAACACATTACTGTTTTTCTTTATCCCAAGATGTTGGTGAGTTCATTCATAGATTTAATGAACTCTATGGGTTAACTGGGGAGAAAAAACCCACAACAGTTCATATCATCAGATGTGAACAGGCCTTTCCCCCACCCCCCCCGCCCCTTTCTTTTCACTGAGTCTTTTTTAGCTGCATAATGTGACAAAAGAAACAAGAAGTTCTTAAACTCCTTCCACCGTAACAATCATAGTTTTGTGAACTTTCAACATATCCCTGATTACTCATGGGTTCAAAAGACAAATCTTCTTGCCCTTTGTGACAGTTTTTTCCAGTTCTCAAACTCATTATTATTATTATCTGTCTTACTAAAATTCTCATAACTTACAATATTTTTAGATGACACGAGCAAAACAGACAAGTGTTTCAGGCTAAAGTATGCCATTTAATTTTTATAAATGCTTTGTACTCCACTCAAATTGCAGTTCTTCAGGTTATGCATTAATCATCCCCTAAGTACATCTTCAGCCAAACTGATTTCAGAAGGGATGGCAAGGATAAGGCACAGGAGAAGCACAGCTGCTGCGGTTGTGTTGCTCTATACTCAAATTAATCAGCTCCACACCCTACCAATTTATAATCACACTGAGCAGACACTGAATTGTGTTCTGTGCTACAAGTATCAAAGTTCTGAAGTTTTTCAATGGTATAATTTATGCCTTATAACGCATATTTTAAACTCCCAGTTCTATCATACCAGCTAAGAATCTGGTGTTCATGTTTACTTTGGGTAAACACATATAACAAACTCATAAATTTCACAGTCCTTATAAAGAATTTCATATTCAACAACTACTAGTTATCACTACTACTAGTTAACATGGAATATAAGTCAATCTCTGAGCCTAAGATTGATTGATATTGATTAATCTAAGAAAATAATGTAATTAATTAAGGCTGATATATAAATGTTACAACGAGGATGTATCTCTCCTCGAAATGCTTTTTTATATCCATTATTTATAGTGTTTAGTATCAAACAGTATCGGCTAGTTTTATATATCAGCTAGTTTTAACAGCTGAATAAGATGAACTTTATTTTCTTCCTTATAATATTTAGATCACAATAAAGGCTCCATGTAACATAACTTAAGAGTCACTGTAGTAGGCGAGACCAAAGATGGCTCTAAATCCAATACCTTTTCCCTAACAGAAGCTAAAACAAGGAGGTAAAGGGGGGGTATTAGAATAGGGCAAGGATGCAGCTTTCCCCAACTTGAGCCATCTGTGGACTGGGACTTCCTAAAGTAGACGTTTTTACTAGTATCAATTTTATGTATGTATTTAATAGTGCTTTCTATACTTTTTCTTCTACAGAACCACCCAAATGTTTCTGAACCACTGAGATGGTTCCCAATGACCTCTGGGAATTGTATGAAAATAAAAAGAGTGAACAATAAATTTCCATTCTTCTACTCCACAGTATTTAGAATCTTCCAAACTACATTTCTGAATAATCTCTTTTCCAAGAAGGTTGACAGATGTTAATTCTTTGTATTTACATATGGCAGACAGGGAAAAGTCTCTAAACCACAGCAATATGACTGCACAAGAAAAAAAAAAAAGTAATAAATTTGATACAAGTTACCACGCAGAGAAAAAGACAGCTAAGAGTCAAGATTCAGCTTTACCTTTTTGTGAGGCAACTGTGTTGCACAATCATGCCTACAGGCAGCAAAGAATTAATATTATCCAAACCACCACGTACCTTCCACTGTGAGCCTCACTCAGAACTACAAACCTTTGTCTAGAAAAAAGGAGTAGTTCTTGCAAACAGAAAATTGTGGGTTTAATAATTTAAAAGACCAAAAAATAGTTTATGAAGGAAAAAAAACTCTTCATATTTTGATAACAAAATTAAAGGGCAATATGATTAAATTTTTGTGGAGCTGCTTGATTAAACCTGTCAGCTTCACACACTGCACAGTTAGACTCTGATGATATTTGACAAGGGAGCAGAAGCACAAGGAAATTAAAATGGAAACATTTTCATTTTATTCTACAAATACCTAGAAGAATGTTTTCACTTTCACAGTATACCTTCCAAGTATTTAAATTATTAATTGTGGGTGA